CGAGGCAGCGGGCGCGGGGCGGACAGACGTGCGGCCGCCGCGGCGCTCGCAACTTTGTTGGCGGCTCCAGCGCCAGCGCCGGGAGCGCTGCGGGGCGGCGTCATGTGACCGCGGAGCTGTCAATCAGCCGGGAGTATCCCAGCGCGGGGCAGGGGCGTCAGGGGTGGGGCGTGGCCGCGCTCTGCCTCCCCGCGCGGCCGGGGGGCCGCTGCCGGCTCCTCTTGGCCCTAACTTTTCTCGCTCTTGGGCGGGCTTTTGTCCGGAGGGACTCGCGCGCTATCCAGGGAACGTGTGTGTGCTCCTCCGGAGCCCCGAGCCGGGGTGGAAGTCACTGGGGGAGGGGGGAGCAGGCACGGGGAAGGTTTAAGAAAATCGTCCTCCCCCCCTCCCCCACCAATGTCCAGTGAGCCCCGGATTTGCATGTGCAAATGGGGTAACCGTGCATTCAAATCGCCTGGTTTGCATGTCCTACAGGTGCTGTTAGTGTCTCTGCATGGCAGCATGGATGCGCAAGGCTTTTCTTGGGCCCTGCCACAGGTACATAGTAAAGCTGGAGGGAAAGTAGCCCCCGAGAGCAGTGGTCCTCAACCTTTTTTTGTCCCAGGATCCCCTTTGTAAGCATCAATGGCCAGTCCGGGCCCATTGGCAATGCATAGGGGGTGCACGCGGGTGCCCATGCACCCCCTGCATGTGGACGCTGCCAGTGGCAAGTGCAAGCAGTCACCACTTGCCACCGCAACCCACTGCCGCAGCTGTCTACAGGACCTCCCTGCGTGCAGCCGCCATGCCTGCAAGTGGTTGCTATGCCCCCCCGGCCTCTGGGGGGACAGGTCATTCATGCCCAACCCAGTGCCCCCCACCTCACAGCCCCCCACTGTGTGGGGGTGGGGGGTGTGCACGGAGCTCTGCCGGCCTGCAAGGGAAAAGCTATGGTTTCCCATATTTCTCCTTTAAAGGAGAATCCTTTTTTAAAGTTTATTCATGACCCTCTCATATATTCTTGCAACCCATTCTTGCAAGCCCTAGAGCAGTGTTGCTCAACCTGTGGGTCGCAACCCAAAAGTGGGTTGCAAGAATGCAGGAAAGGGTCACAAACAAACTTTAAAAATGGATTCTCCTTTAAATGAGAAAAAATGTGGGAATCTGTGGCTTTTCTCTCGCAGACTGGCAGAGCTCCAGCCTCGAAGGGGCTGCTTGGGGCCCCATGCCCCACACCTCACCCCACTCTCTGTACCACACACTGAGGGCTGGGGGGCAGTAGGTCGGAAGTGAGGGGCACTGGGTCAC